CCTTGGTGTTAAGTAAGTTTAATCCATGTTTAATTATTTTTTTAAAGTTTCAGTGCTTAATTTAAATGATGAAGTTTAGTGATTGCTCGTATAAGTGAAACATTGACCAACCCAAAACACACGACTCTAAACATATTACAATACTGCAGTATTGAGTATCCTATAACACAGATTATGTGATACAGATAATACGTTAGGAACTAGCCACTTGCTAAGTAAGAATCCCTTAAAGTAACTAATTATTCGAACTGTGGTGAAGCTTACCTTTAGGAGCTAGGGTAGTAGATTTGCTGGAAAAAGTGGTGTCTCCGGAAGGAGGAGGAGGTGAGGTGGGCAACTTGGGAGGAGCTGAGGATATGGGAGGGGGAGCTGAAGTTATTGGTGGGGGAGCTGAAGTTATTGGTGGGGGAGCTGAAGTTATTGGTGGGGGAGCTGAAGTTATTGGTGGTGGAGCTGAAGGTTTTGGGGAGATTACATCGGTATCTGCAGTAGATCTTCGGTGCAACACCTTGGCATCTTGCTTCGGAGCAAGGTTTTTCTTCCTGATGTGTCCAGCAGTAGATTTAGCCCGAGGTCGCACGTGGGAAGAGTCTCCAGTAGTCTGGATATCAGTTCTAGCTGGCAATGGCGGGGCTGCTTCCTCAGACACTGAGTTTGGACGGGAGGGGTTTTTTACAGGGGTAGGATTGTGAAGATCTCGGGCTTTGTTTTTTGATCTCATGACAACTTCGTCTCTTTTAGTGTAGGTTAACTTTCGAGGGGGGACAGAAGATGGAGGGGGCACTTTTTCAGGACGGGGATTCTTCTTCTTCATTTTACGTGTTGTCCTCCGTTTTGCTGTTCTCTTATTCATAGAGGACTTGCCTGCTTCTTCATTATCTGACTGCTTATCAGGAACATCTGAAACAGCTTCTGATATGTCCTCTGAAATGTCATCAATATCACTTACAGAGGGTTCTCTTGCAGTTCTACTAGGGGCTAAATAATCATTTTGTTGATTTTTCGTTGGAGAGGGAGCTGGAGGTTGCTCTGCGGTGCCATTTCGTGGTGGTAGACCGTCAGTTCTGGGTGGAAGAGGTGGCACAGGAGTTGTAGCAGGAGACTTGGATCTAGGTGGAAGAGGCGCAGGTTTTCCTACATCATTGCCCTTGAGGGGTCTTCCTTTCGGCGTGTTAATTTTAGAGGGCCCAGAATTTGACCTGACTGGTTCGGCTGGTTGTTCGGTTGTTTTCTTTGGAGGTCGAGCTGGGGATGGGGCTCGAGGTGGTGGGTTACTTTGAGAAGGACTTAATGTTGATCTGGAGGGGTTTTTAGATTTTGGTGCATCTGTGTCCTCTGAGCTGGCAATCTTTTTTCGACTACTTCGAGGACTTTTAGGAAATCTCTGCTTAGGTTCAATATCGTGTTTGTCCGACTCAAATTTGGCCCGAAGAGCACGGATATTTGACATGGTATGAGAAAAAGGTAGCTTTCAAAAGCACAAAAACTCAGCAGCAACTAAATACAATGTATAGATTGGCTATATTCTGTATGAACAAACAAACTCGACGGGAAATGCTCACAAATAATTCTTCTTCCTTCGGTTGTCAGATCGAATTTTATGTGTAATATCGGAAGGTATGCTGTTTACACACCGTCTACAATAATAACAACACCCGTCAATACATTACATGTTGAGAATAGTAATTGTGTAGAAAGGCAATACTCGTAGTGATACATTAGTTCATTCAACATCGTAATAATACATTACCGGTACCTTTCATAGTTCATTTGTCGACGAAAAATAGGCTAGCCCCACAGCGAATGTTAATTTAATTATACATGTAGTGTCTATGTGGTTATTCAATCTGAAAAATTACCAATTATGATAGTTACGTCATTAGTAAGATGGGATTAGTATGAAAATACTCGAATGCAAAAGGTATACGAATGGTATGTTAAGTATTTGTGACATTTATTCCATAATTATAGCTTAATTCTATGTAATGAGGCCACAATATGTTGTGATGATGAGGAGCGTCAGATTGTCTAAAGTAATGTGACGTACATCGTATTGTACTGAATCTGTAATATAGACGTTGGAACTACATACAAACATACAAACATACAAACATACAAACATACAAACATACAAACATACATACATACATACATACAAACATCAACAAAGTCAATGTTATGAAGTTAATGATGTATAAAGTGATAGCTGAATGAGTAGCTCTTTGTTCTTGAGTAGCTCTTTGTTCTTGAGTAGTTCATCCCTCAGTGAACGGAATCGTCATTCTGATCACAATATTAGCAGGTTAAGAAAGTACGGTCCTAGAATAGAGTTGGTTCAATAAGGAGCTTCGAGCAGTGTCATTTCTAGTTAAAATCACTATTGGACAGATGAAGCAATGTATGTGTTTGTGTCATTAATAGTGCTCCAATTATTACTTTCAACAATGAATAATACTTGTGCTTTGCCTTTAAATCCAACAACTAGAATAGGTCTTTTAAGGGTTGAGCTACACACCCAACCCACGAGTATTATCATTCTCAAAACTTCCGGCACTAACTACCATCGTATACTCAGTCCGTCAATCATAAAGTGTGTTTTTTATTCATTATTATAAATCCGTAGTTATACTGGAATAGTTCCACGTTCCGGGTATGTCAAACTTCTGGATTCCTGTCTACATTCTTCTTATTTCACAGAACAATAGCTCGCACAAAAGAATAAACCTGACAATTGTATCACAAATTGTCACTATGCCGATGCTATGTCGCTCCCTGGCCACGGATGACTTGATTTATAATTCGTCGTTGTGCACAGTTTATTCCTTGCTGACTACGACTTCGGTAGATTCAGACTGTCAATACCTGCCTTTATTTTTTTCACGATACGACTAATTTTGTGCACAAAAGAATGCCTTTCTTTGATAATTTTCTTGCTTTTCCACTTAAAAGTTAATCTGTAATACAATCTGTAATACAATCAATCTAATGAGCCAAGAAGCCGCTTCGACGATGCTTTTAATTAAATTTCTATACCGTAAAACGTAGATACTTGTAAATCCGACTTAGACGTGGTTTAAATTTGTTCTCCGTTTCTCAGACAAGTCTAGCAGTAAAGATGACTACCGAGGATGCGGAACGGTCTGAGGTTGAGAAGTTTATATCTTTAATGGACGTGGAATACTGCCGTTTCTGTGGGCGATCTGGCATCTATCTTGGCAAGCTACAAAGGATGACGTTGGGCGGAAATGGAAGTGAAGCTACAAGTATGGCCGCCAGAATGATGCAGTCTGGTCCAGCTTCATCCATATTGACAGAGCCGTGTCACTGTTTAAGAAGACATTACAGATTCGCACACATGCCATGCCTAATCCAATGGATTCACACTAATCTGACTAACAGGTGTCCTGACTGTAGTGCTACCTACAACTGTATCCACAAAGTAACCCCAGTGGGAGAGTGGAAAACCAGCCCCTCCACGGACAGGATGATGGGCCAATATTGCAGTGCCATCCTTGTGGCAATTATTATCGGGATCCTGGACGGTATCGTCATCTGGTTGGTATGGCTGACTACGCTGCCCATTCCATTGAGAGTGACTGTCATTCTTGTTCTGTTTGCAATGTATACAGCCGGTATGATAGCTATTTATTCAAGATGTGCCATAGTGTACCATAAAATGTATATATATAATTGTCCAGTTGTTGACGTTGTCCCCCAAGTTGGGCCGACAGACAGCCAAGAAAGTTTAGTTTAAAAACGTAGCAGGGAGAATTTATAACGATTTTATTACAGTTGGGATATTTAAACTTTTTAAACTTAAACTTGCCATTCTAACGTTCAAGGTTCTTAAACTTTTTAGACTATGATGTAGTATATTCCGATAAGTTGGCTAAGATAAGAGTTAGATTCGTAGAATATCAGCATTTTGAGACTTAAATAATTGGAATTGTTTTTAACTTAAATTATCTCAGGATTACTATTATTGTGTATTCGATAAAGTAATTCCCACTTTTCTATCCTTATATCCTTATATCCTTGTATTCTTGTATCCTATGAAATTATAGAATCTAGTTATAATGCAATAAAGAGGGTGACATGTCCGCCAATGTCCGCCTAAAACTTTTTCTGTAGAATTCTCAGATATTCTACAGAACGGGAGTTCTGAAAAAATGTGGCTAGACAATGTGGCCTGTTATAGTTGATTGTCAGAACGTATAGAAGGTAAATAACAGCTCATTTTGAAAGCCTGGCTGCAACACGTGTCAAAAATGTTATTTTCATGTGGTATGCAGTAAGGAGGAAGATAATATCATGACAAATGACGTGCCTATCATTGTCATACATGGTATGCAGTAGTGAGGAAGATAATGTCATGTGGTATGCAGTAGTGAGGAAGATAATGTCATGTGGTATGCGGTAATGAGGAAGATAATGTCATGACAAATGACGTGCCTATCATTGACCTTCGGTGAACGGATATTTGGCAGCAACCTACGGGTTAGTCACTTGACTGACCACATTGTTCTCCAAATAACTGCCTTTACAATTACACTTATCTCGTCTGCAAGATATTGATGGGTTAAGAATAGTCTCAATATTTTGCCTCACAACGCAACTTATCAAATGGGATGTCAATTGTTGCCAAATCGACCTAATTGTTTGTTATATTGGCGGTTCATGCACTGTAGTCTGACACAAAATTGAGTTTTCCAGGGATCACATTTTTGAATTTCGATAAAGAGCAGCAGTTTCATGGTTATTCAGCATTAAGTACATATATTATTAAGATCTGATCCAAGGGCTCAAATTATAATCAGAAGAAATATACCTGAATAAGGGGCTAGTATTTAATATATGTGATTCAGATAGGCCCTACTAAGATTCCTCAGTCGAAAATCATGCAAACATCTTATTACAGGAATACAATTCCACAAAGCAGGAAATATACATTTTCAATCTTTAAAAAAGTGAGTAACAAAATAAATCATCTCAATATACCATTCTCAATTTAACAACAAAACTTACTTTTGCAAAAATGTAAACTTGATTATATTAATAAACCTAAAACAATGCTATTTACGCGATGAAGACACTACTTCATCGACTGAACCTGGATGTTCTCGAGTTCTTCACTCATACCTGCTGCAGAGCAGATATCTGCAACAATATCATCACAAAAACCTTGCAAGAATAGGTCCTCATCGCGAGAAAAGTCGACATTTGCAGATAATGCTAGCATCCACCCAACTATACCTTCGACTTTACCAGGCTTTGTCTTGTTGATATAGACCCTCGGAACTCCAGGTTTCGTCCTACCAACTAGTGTATTAAATGGACTGACCGCTAGAGAAGTTCCAAGTACAATCAGTAAATCACATGCAGAAAAGTCAGATGATATGCTGCTGTGAAATCTACTGGGAAGTTGTTCTCCAAATAGCACAATATCCGGCCTGACTACGGACTGACAGTCTTCACATTTTGGTACGCCATCATTCTTCTCCGGGGTAAACATCTCCTTTTTCAACCACTGAAGGTCGTATTCCTTTCCACACTTTTGACTTGTACAATAACTCCTTTGAAAACTGCCATGAGCTTCTATAACCTCTTTCTTGTTCAGTCCACCAAGAATTTCAAGAGCATCAATATTTTGTGTGTAGACACGACGAAGAAGATGTTTATCCCTCAACAATGTAAAGAACTTGTGTGTAGTTGTTGGAGTGAGTACCTCCGGATACAGCTCTCTACACAAGCTGTAGAATGGCAAAGGATTTTGTCTGAAATAATCTCCATCAAAAACTGCTTCTGGATAAGGTAGGTCGTATTTTTTCAATTTAAAATACAATCCTGCTGATGGTGAGCGAAAATCAGGGATTCCAGCAGCAGTAGATATCCCAGCACCACACATGATAATGATATTTTTGTAAACCCCATTTTTCAAATTTTGCACTAACAAGTCTTTAGTTAAAGCTCCTCCTACATTGGAACTAGGCCTTGTGAAATAACCACCCATTCCTGTGATGAAATCAAAATTGAAGATAATATCCATTAATCATAATATTTTTAATACATCAATTGAAAGAAGATGTAGAGTATAATATACAATGATTAAAACAATTTGAGCGGTACATGTCGACCAGTTCACCTTTTTCCTGGTTTAATTTAGCAAGCTCAAGCAATTCATGACAAAGGGATGTCTGGTCAATTTCATTATATCCTATAGATGAAGTGCATACGTAAAACCAAAGTTATTTATTTAAAGGTATTGTAAAGTAGCTTTCTACTAATTTTTCAATGCTTCTAGTAAAACTGAGGCATATTCTAATATGGTAAATAAGTTTTAATTATTTTAAAAAGTAGTATGCAAAATATAAATCAATGAAACAAGAAATTCAATGAAACAAGAAATTTAATTTTAGCACATTTTACAGAATCAACAAATTTATAACAATACAAATATAATGCTCATTTAGTGTATGACTTTCTGTCCTTAACTGCTAATTAGGTTAAAACGGATAGGCAACTAACGGGGCAAGGAATGTGCAGGCCTGAAAGCTTTTGCACACACAGAAATATTAGTCCAGATGAGTTTTTGGAGACAGGCTCTTACTTGAACCAGATACTGTATGCTCTCCCAGAGAACATACAGCGTGGCCCCCTCCTCAGTAAATTCAAGACACTGGCAGGCTAAGAGGAGTACTTCCTGTTCTTCGTCTGAGATGAGCTCTTCTGTGGCTCTATGAACTGGAGATTTGTTTGGATCAGAGGGAATCTCTTCTTCATGGGTAGGCTCCGGTACCTTACCTTGGGTGCCTTGGTTGGGGCTGTGAGGAACTGGTTCTGAGTGCTTATTCCTTAGTTTGATTTGTTCTGTTAGGCCACTATAGTAGAGGCTCTTACGGGCATTGTCTGCTCGATACGCTAGGGACCCCAGATACACCTTTCTAGACGTATTTTTGACCGTAGAATCGATTAAAAGTGGTTTCGAGATGATTGGACTGAGTTTACGCGGGTAAAATCGCAAAAAAACCGATTTTTGGGCAAAAAATAGGCCAAAAAACCATGTTTTTTGATATTTTGAACAAGTTAATTTTGTTGGCATGTCGGCAAAACTTGCATGGAAATAGCTAAAACACAGCCGCACAAGATGGTTTAAAAATTTTAAAAATCCCTCTGTTTTAACGCGGGTAAAAATCCAAAAAAGTGGTAAAAATGTTGACTTTTTTGCTTGAAGTTTGAATAATTTTTTGCAGTTGTATTAAATCAACCCAAAAATAGTCACATCGTGTTTGCCTAAATTTTTCCTTTCCGAGAAGTACCCACTTCATATACTTTATCGAAGTTTGAATATTGTCACTCCGCAAGCGTTTTTGCCAAATTTTCGACGCGCACTACGCGCAACAGCATTTAGTTGTTATCAATTGGCACCCGCGCGTTCATCATAAATTTCAAACAGCTATAACTCAGCGAGATTATGTCCGTTCTAGCTCATATTTTCACACTAAATAGAAAATAATGTGATCTTATTGCTGACAAAATATGAATATAATTACTCTATTTGCCTTAGAGTAATAGACTGTCAAAGTTTAAAACGCGCATTGGTATAGCACGTGACTAATAAGGCCAAATTTATACTTCTTAACATATTATCGATCCTTAGACATCATACTATTGTGTCCAATTAGCGGTTAGGTTTCTAAACTCGTAGCAGAAAACACGTCTTTTTGCCCGTAAGAGCCTCTACTACTATTATCTGCCACAGAAACCTTCCCAAGTCTGGAGTCAACTGAAGTTATCAGCTGGTTCAGATTTCCTTCCATCTTTGCAACCCATGCTGGGGCTTCTTCAGTGCCCTTATCACTGACCAATAGGTGCTAGATATGAAGGTCAAGGTTCTGGATGGTAGCAATGCTGTCATTCAGACTGTCAAAGTTAACCTTGGCAATTTGTTCACCAAAAGCTGAGATGGAATCAAGCTTCTCTGCGGCAATAGCAGTCTCACATTGAATGTTAGATTTTTGAAGCGTCAGTGATCCTACACACATAACACACATCTAATAAGCAGCAGTTTCGAGTGTGGAAACTGGTGAAACCAAACAAAGAGGGCAGTGCCAATCGGTCATGCTGTTGATGCTTTGCTGATTGAGTCCGTTCATAGTTAAACAATCTATGTGCCCATATCAAATATTGCTTGCACTTTAAACATTCAATTATCCATGACGGTACTGACTTATTACATGGACATTTTGTCTTGTCCCTGTGTGAACTGTCAAACTTTGTGAGTGCTACATCACTGACTACAACAATAGTTGACTATCACAATATCCATCCTTCACCTTCGAATCTGGTCCTGGAGTGTCTCCCTTGAGACTTAATCTTTTTGTCCACAGGAGAAGGAATTCCTGAGCTGTAGATAAGGATCTCTTGCTATTTTTGTTAATGTCGCTCACATCCAGTAAAAGTCAGAACAAACAGTTGCTAAAGCAACGTGTAAACTCACAGCGCCCCTTTGTGGGAATTACGACATATTTTGATCCCTAAACTCAAATTATTTGTTATATAGCAGCGCCGAAAGTATTAAAACTTTCATTTTATGTATTAAAACTTTTTAATTTTATATTAATTGTAAATTATTGTGTGTTGCGGTTTCATAACGTTTTAACGGGGTATAATGTGTTAAATAGGCATTTCACATTTAAAATTTAAAATTAGTATGTTGAAAAGTAAAGTTTTTGATCTAAACTATTTATTATTGATTGATGATGTCAACCCTTGTCATACGTTGTATGACCCACCGCGCCGCGCACGAGTGCGCGGCTCCACTGTATCGTAAGAACGATAAAGGGGAAACGACTGTGGGGTCACGACGTGATACAAGTCAACACTTCCAGATCGTTACTTTGCGAATTAACAAAGCATATTGTCGATGCGAAGCAAGATTGCATCGAGGCGGCGAAGACCTCTAATATTTATTGTTAATAAAATGCTTGTTTACATTTACATTTAACGGATGATATTTTTATAAATTTTTCTTAACGGCTTAGTGGCTCAGTTGGTTAATCCGCCTGGTATTGCTTGAGGTACCAGGTTCGATTCCCGACTCTGTCACTAGCCGTGGGGTGAGCGTCGTCGACGCTCAGCTAAGGATCCTGAGTGGTCTATGCAGCCCCCGGCCCGGTCCACTCAGCCAAATACTCGAGAAATCGGGTGTGAGGGTTAAATGAGGAGCTGCCCATTGCAGCAAAGTCTCGGGAGAAGAAAGTATGGTACACACTACCATAACAGTCACTGGCCTAATGTATAATTGATAATTGAGTCCTTCGGCTTCCTGTAATTGGCTGGTTACACACTTGTGTAACAATGTGGCTGTTGGAATGTCCGAAGTAAAATAAGTGTTGAGATTTTTTTTAAAAGAAGCACGTGCGTTTCGCTTTCTTTTCAAGGCAGTTGCTACGAAGTAGCGCGCACTGGGTCAGTATATATTTAACAATGGACACATTTACAAACACATCATCACTAAATTGCACACGCAACGAAATCATTTTTTCAACTTTATATAATTTGAATCAATGATCAAGGTTAAATGTTTTTGCCACGTATGTATTTATTATGACTGGGTCTCCAGGTATAAAATATAGTATATAATGTATTTAAAATAAATATATGCATTTATACAAATCACTCGGAACACTTTTAAAAACAATAACACCTTCATAACAATTTTTTTGCAAAGTGGATTGAGTGATTCAGATTGTAGGTTTACAACCTACCAGGACGCGCGCCAAGTTGGACTCGTCGACGGTGGAACAGATATCATTTTACGAGTATCACCCGTTAAATTGAGTGACAGGGCTGAGCACCAGTCGGTCAATTTTGTCATACGTTGTATGGCCCGCCGCGCACGAGTGCGCGGCTCCCCTATATTGTAAGTAAAACGACAATGGGTGTTACGATGTAATACAATGTAAATTTGAATTATAAAACACAAAAATAGATTCACCCCGCGCATATGTTTATTGTCTGTTCATTTTTAATTGAGCGCTTCGCCTACAGTTGTTTTGTAAACTTTTATTTGTTAGTGCCAAGATAAAAATTATTGGCGTTTGATCTTACTTAATTACTTGAATATTAAACATAATACAACCCATTAAACGTGCTGTTTCTAGACATTTATCCTTTTGGGGCTTCGTGGAAAATCATTTGTAGAGAAGCGGTAAAGCCCTTACCGTATATAAAGGGGGACTAAATAAAAAGACTGCAGGCCTATTAAATGGACCCTCCATTTTACATAAGCTCTTGAAGAAAGAGACTTTCTATGAAGAAATTCCTTAAATACTAACGGGTCCTTTAAACGTTATATACATTCAATGAAATCGAGTGTTGCAGTTGGCAGAGCAGAATGCATAGTTAACCGAAACGGTCCATTGCACATTGCCACCAATATCGAGCGTGCTAACTCATTCTACTATACAGTCAATCTTTGAGATTGTTCTGAAAGAGTAGAAGGGCCCCCGACATGCGACAGTTGAAACCAACTTCAATCGATGTATTATCGGACGCTGATTCCGAATCATCCCCATAAATAAGGTTAAAATGCTCCCCTGACGAGATATTGGCGAAAAACTGTCTCGAACACGTGATAAGTAAAACAAAATTTTTAAGTAAATAAAAGTACATGATAAGATAATATGACCGTTTAAGATAGTTAGTATAATTTCTCGTTAGGGTTAGGGTTTCAGCATACATATGCTTTTACCTTACCTTTGATACCTTTGATCTGCTTCGTCGAAACTCGACAGGCCATCAGAGTTGCTGACCACCCCAGAGACCAGATGCCTCTCGATCGTTACGCCAGTCCATTATAGAATTGGAGTTCGGTGATGTGAATAGAAGCCCCGGATTGGCGGTTTATCCGGCAAAGAAAGCATGAATGCCGTCATATGATGCTTGAAGCCAGCATGCTTGGAGACTGCACATATGTGCCTAGGTATACAGTTCCAGAGTCTGGGACCCATTACGCTAAATGATGTTTCATTTAGAGTCTGATGAGCAGCTGAGCTTTTTGTACGGACAGCTGGAACCTTAGCCAGGGTACCCAATCGTGGATTTACTGTGAAGTGTACTTCAATGTTGTTGGATGTTTTTGATTGAAATAAATTTTCGTGCACATACAGAATGAATGGTTAATAATTTAATATATATGTAGACCAAGGTCTGTGCACGGGATGCTTCCTGGAAGAATCCAGTTCTTTTAGCGGGGCACCCTACCTAAAGCCAAGATTAGATTAGATAGATTAGATTAAGAATAATGACATAAACATCATCACTAGTTTTAAACATTCTTTCTGATTTCCTCATTATCAGAACTGTGAACATTTCACAGCCTTCGTCATTAAAAAAAAACAAACAAATTCTATAACTAACATAATTGTCATAATTTATTTACATATAAAAAAGTTTAAAAAGTTAAAAACCGTTAATTTAAAAAATAAATAAATAAAAACAAATTCATGAGATATTTATTCCCTTTCTCTTGGCAACACACGGATTTTTATATAAATATTGGACTTGTTGCTTCTTCTTTTCAATATAATTTACACCCTCTATTTTTGCTAAAACTATATTTGACACTTCCCAAAAGTTGCCTGTGTCTACTAAATTATTAGTCTTTTTAAATTCTTCTAGATTAATTTTAAAATCAATAACAGACACTGAATTTCTAACAAAAGATGGTAATTTATTCCAAAAGCTGATAACACGCTCTGATAAAAAATTATTAGACAAGGTTTTAATATTTCTATCAATATTGTTAGATGTAGTGCTAACAATTTTATCTCCCGATCTACTTAAATTGAAAATATCTTTTCCATACTCAACCAATCCATTTACAATTTTGTAGGCTTCAATCAAATCTCCTCTAACCCGTCTCTCTGCGAGTGTTGTAATCTGTAAGGCATCCAACCTTTCACTGTAAGGAAGTGTTCCAATATCATCAATAAGGCGTGTGAACCTTCTCTGGACATTTTCCAGTTCAATGATAGTAGCCCAATTCCCATGGCAGGCAGGTGGAGACCACAACTGAGCACAATACTCCAAGTGGGGTCTTATTATAGTTTTATAAACATTTCTCATAACATTAATTTCTCTTATAATGAGATTCCTTGTAACCCATGCAATCATACTGTTTGCTTTACTAATACAACTTTTAATATGTTTCGACCATTTCAAATCTGAAGAAGTTAAAATTGAGATATAATAATCATATTCCTAGAGAAATAATCAGAAATCGAATACCAATCAAATAATATGATATATAGGAGTAGTAACCATATTTACTATGCAAAATGCCCCAACCACATAGTGTAAATTTATATAGAATTCAAATTCCATATCATCATTAAACCTCAATAGTCAATATAATAGCCCAAGCAAAATTAAATAACTTCTTATATACCTTACTGTCATACTACAAATTAATTAAACATTTGAAATCTGTTAACCAGAGAATAAATTTCTAAACCTAATGCAAGTGAAATAATTTAGATGCAATAATGAATGCCTAATGTGAGTATCATCTGTCAATGTCCTTGTAAAAAAGTCTGTAAAAGAGATATGAGTAACTAATATAGAAGAAAAAACAAGAAAACAACAATTTCAAGAAAACAACAATTTTATTTAGTATCAGTTAAAGCAGACAAAAACATATTTTATATATATAACTAGTGCAAACTTTAGACCATATATCTTAGGGGACTTGGAGTAGCAAGAGAGTGACCAGAAAGTATATACAGTATACTTTTACCAAAAATACGTCGAAATGAATCCAGGGTGATACAGGATCTGAGAGTGCAGACCATAAAGTTTACGCACCCACCCTTGCCTCCTGAATTCGTGGTTGGAAAGACAATTATGCAAAATTGGTCGTTTATACTCCAAGTCCCTTTGTTAATAGAAGTAGTATTATTTATGTCTGGAATTAGCTTCATTCAATAATAACAATATCAATATAATCAATATTAATATCAATATCAGACTAAACTATCAAATAAATAAATTATCAAATATCAATTATTAATTCACTCTGATTAAAAAGTTATAAATTAGGATATCTAATATTTAAGAATTACAACTACAAGTTGTTAAAAACGCCCAAAATAGATCTGAGATATTTTCAGTCTGTAGTACAATAATGATAGCAATAGTTTAAATTATGTTATGTGCTGCTGCAATTAGATTAAATTACTGTAACTTAAAATTGTTTGGAGTCCAAGTCTCTTTTAAGTCAGCAGCCTGTGATTGTATTAATAGTGCTTTCGTTCTCAATTTTATCAAGTTAATGGAAGTTTCTAGACAATTGCTTAAAGTTAAAATTTTTTTATGAATCCAGGGTGAACAGGAAGTTGTCGCCTGTTGAAAAATAAATAAAATATCTAGAATATAACCCTAAGTTTTAATAGTTTTAATACTTTCAACACTACTATATAACAAATAATTTGAGGTATGACCAAAATGACCAACATGACAAAAATGTAATGTAATTGGAGGTATCAAATCTATTCAATCAACTTCAATCAACTTCAATCGACTTCAATCAATCTATTTATCTACAACCAACTCAACCAACTCAACATCATGAACGATTCATTGGAAACATTTTTCGGCAAATTATTGATGGAATGTGATACAAAATGTACAAACTGTTCAGATCTTGAAACTCGCGTGAAGTTTCTGGAGCGTAAAGTGTTCATTTTAGAGGAGATTGTTCAAACCTCACAAACAATAGCAGAGATTAATGAAACTATTTCGCCTCAAAGTGGAAACCAATCTATTGCTCAATACAAGTGTTTCGATGTATCAGCGCAAACGGACTCCAGCAACAATAACATTCAGTATGACAATGAATGTGAGGTACCAGAATCATTTTTGTTGATTGATGATGATGGCTATGTAGAAGCACCTCTATCAATTATTTCTAACAACATAGACATTTCAACCAGCGAGATTACAGACACTGGCTCAGTTATTCCAAGAAGTGGTGAATATTATGCAGGATTAGATTTAACACCTGTGTCAAGTTCAGACCTTACTACAGACTATGAAATCCCTGATATCGCCATCACACCTGTTGAACTTATTGAACAGGCACCATTCAGCAAATTTTCTGTTGAAATCTTATTTGAGGAATTAAAGTTCAGCCACCACTTCCATAACAGGAAATCAGTCTACTTTGGGAAACATCCTTACGTGTACAGTGGAGGAATGCATGACCCAAAGAAGATCCCCCAGGGATCTTACATGGCAAGTATATGTTCCTTTCTAGATGAGCTATTCCCAGAATACAACTACAACAGTGTTCTGGTCAATCTCTATGAATCTGGAGAGGAACATATGCCTGCTCATAGTGACAATGAAGAATTTATTGAAGAAAATTCGTACATTGTAACAGTGTCCCTTGGTGCTTCCAGGATGATGCAGTTGACTGAAATCAAAACAGGACAAGTGGTGACTTCCCTAATTTTAGAACATGGAGATGTATGTCTTATGTCCAAAAAGTCCCAACATCAATTCAACCATGAACTATGTCCCGATCCACTATGCACAGACAAAAGGATCAGTTTAACTTTTAGACTTATCAAATCAGTTGTCTGCAGTCAACCAAGAAAATCACCTTCTACAGCTAGTGGATATGTACCCTACAACGAACGTGAATTTGAAGTCCACCATTCCAGAGTTAAGAGTTCAGCCAAGTCAACTGCAGCGCCTCCTTCACCTGAACAGATCCCAAGTGACCTGCCAATTGATACCATCTACATCAGCAGCAGTATGTTCAGGGACCTCAACGGAACTCTACTAAGTTCGAGGAAGCAGAAAGCTAAGGTGTTCTTCTACCCTGGAGCGAACTCTGCTCAAATGTTAAATAGGCTGTTACATGATGAGGAGTTCAAAAAACTGGATAAAAAGGATGTAAAGCGTGTTTTCATACTAACAGGTACAAACTACGTAGATTCTGTCTGTAACAATTATATTTCTATGAAAAATGCAACAGAAGGAATTGATCAAATACTTAGTATACTTTGGGGAATGTTTATTGGAGCAAGAATTTCAGTTATAAATATTTTACCTAGGAGCAGTTATAACAAAAATGAAGTTATCAACGAATTAAATAGGTTTATTTCTAACACCTGCTCTAGCCATGGGTTAAATTATATAGATTTAGAACGTAATAATAGACTATTTACCAGCCGAGTTACTGGAGTAAGGAAACAGGTATTTTTCAAAAAGGGAATAGATAATGTTCACCTTAATATCAAGGGAATCGCCAGGTTGGCGAAACATTTAAAATATTTATCCCACAATGAGCAAACTTAGTCTTTCCATTCAGATTGTAGAAAGTTCTGTAGTTAAATGAGTATTTGATACTTTTATCAAAGAATCACATTTTAAATTATTAAGTCACAAATAAATCAGCATGACATAAAACTAAATGTCATGAATTTTATTTAAATTGCTTGAAGAAGAAACGTATAGATTTGTCCTCCTTTTAACTTTATTATTACCACATTCGTACCTCAATAAACGATAATCTCTCTCTTGGTCTATGTAATATACAGGGTGGCCTGACTAATCTGGCAAAAACTCTCGAACTACAGGAGCTAATATTTCGCGAAAAGCTTGACATAATTGGAATTAATGAGACAAACCTTAAATCTGATATAGACACTAGTACACTTAACTTCCCCTTAAACTTTGATTTTATAAGGTGTGATAGACCTAACGATAGAGGAAGAGGAGGGTGTGGTATATTGATCAACCAAAATGTAAACCACAAATTACTCAATTTAGATATAACTTACTCTGATATTTCTAAAATCGAAGCTATATGGATACAACTCAAGGATGCCAATCTGTACATTTGCTGCTTCTACAGATCACAAAACTTTTGTCACCTAGATACTTTCCTTGATTATATGACTGAATGTATGATGAAACTTCAAGGTAAGAAAGTAATATGGATTGGCGATGTTAATGTTAACCAAAACTCTTTATCTGATCTAGATTATAAAAAGTTAGATATAACAATGAAGCTCTTTGGAATGATACAGACTGTTACAGGAATTACTAGAGTTGCAAACTTAGATGGTAGGATAACGCAGAGCACAATAGATGTTGTCATGACTAACTGTTACTCTAATTTCATAGAGTGTAAAGTACTTGATGATAGAATAGGAGATCACCAAGCTCTCAAATGTGTTCTCGACTTTAAAGTAAGTAAAGCTAGTAAATTCCAGAAGGTTCTTATCAGAGACCACTCCTTAAACAATCTGAAAGCCTTAAGCTATTTTCTGGGATCCTCCAGCAACTACAGTAATATTCTAAGCTGTACTAATGTAGACCATGCCCTAGATGGACTTAATCATCACATCCAGGAATCGTATGATAATTACTGTCCACCTAAACAGATAAAATGTAATAGTAACTTTCTCTGTAATCCCTCTAAAGAACTGTTGGCAGAAATACGGAAGAAGAAGATGCTCTTCAGAAAGTATAAAAAGTGTTTAGGACAATTAAACAAATTCAAGTGTAATTGTATTAATGGAATATGTAAATGCAGAAAAAGTGAACTACATAAGAAATGCTCTACTTCGTGGGATAACTATCGTCCCCAAAGAAACTATGTGACAAAATTATCCAAAGAAAACAGACGTACAAATATTGTTCAGGACCTTACTGTGAAAAGTGCAAAAAACGATTTAAAAGGCATTTGGAAAACTATCAAACATGCTTCAAACTTACCTGGAAAAATAAGTAGCTCTTCCCCAAGCAACTTAAATGTTAACGGAGTTAACCTGCATTTTGCCACAGTTGGTACAATAATACAAGAATCGATTAAGGAAAAGGATTCAGACGACTTCCTAGAATATATGCCGCCTCCAACAGAGTGTAAACTCTCTGTATTCGAAGAGGTGACTGTTGAACAAGTAAAAGAATATATACTCAGTATACCATCAGATAAATCGATTAACGATATCATGCCCATTAAAATATATAAGTATATTATTCCCCAAATCATCGATCCAGTAGCTCATATTATAAACCTTAGTATGAAAAGTGGAACAATGCCGTTGGCATGTAAAATTGCATCAGTCACTCCAATTCTTAAAACTGGTGACCCTAATGATCCAAATAACTACCGGCCAATATCCATACTCCCCCTACTTGGAAAATGCATAGAATATTTTGTTAACCAACAGCTTACAGACTATGTTGAAACAAATAAACTGCTTACCAACCATCAGTATGGTTTTAGAAAAGATCATTCCACCACTTTTTTAATGCTTAATCTGTTTGATAAAATATTTACGTCTAAGGAATCACAGAAGAAACCTGCAATTGTATTCTTAGATATCAAAAAGGCCTTTGACACAGTAAGCCATAATATTTTATTAAAAAAACTTAAGTATTATGGAGTTGATGGCTTTGTCATAAAGTGGTTCAAAAGCTACCTGGGGGACAGAAAGCAACACACCAAAATACGTGGTAATGTAAGCACATCACTCCCTGTTAAAACAGGTGTGCCACAGGGTAGCATATTAGGACCAATTCTATTTAGTTTATTCATAAATGATCTCAGTAGAAATTGCACACAATCTACTGTTTACTTATTTGCAGATGACAGTGCACTATATTTTGATAACATTTCCCGAGGCATATATGAGAATGTAATTAAGGATATGAAAATTGTGTATGAATGGCTTAGAATCAACAAGCTGAGACTAAATGCTGCAAAATCTTCATTCATTGTATTTGATAGATCACCTAATCTGGACACGTTGTCAATCCCTCTGGATTTGGAAAAAGAATGCCTATTTATAGAAGAAACTAAATCTCAAAAATATTTAGGTCTCATGATAGACAATTTATTGAACTTTCATGACCATATTGATTATGTGAAATCAAAAATTGCTAAAAGAATAGGGGCACTATACAGGTCGAAAAATCTTCTTCCACTGAAATATAGAAAAATGTTTGTAAATGCTCTTATGCTCCCCCAATTTGACTACCTGGATATAATATGGTGCAGGGCTGCCAAAACCAAACTTAATTCTCTTGATATATTATACAAGAAAGTAGCAAAAATTGCTCTGGATGTTCATTGGCAGGAACCATCAGTAAATGTATATCGAAATATGAAGTGGTTACCCTTACACTTAAGAAGACAACTCCATCTGTCAACGTATATGTATAAAATTCTTAATGAGGCTGCACCATCATCATTCACAGATAAATTTTCTTATGTATCCGGAGGATCACGTGATGCTGAGAGGTGCAACCTTTATATTCACAAATCCAGAACACACAAAACCTTTACATATTTAGGTGCAAAATGTTGGAATACAATTCCCGAGAACATAAGGACTATAGAATGTAGTGTAAAATTCTCACAATGTATGAAATCTAAATTTATGTCAGATGTAATTCAAGGAGTCTCATCCTATG